CGCGGAGCACGAATGACCGCGGCCGAGCCGGGCGCGCGCCCCGGCCCACTGCGGGCCCGCGGCCTCCGGTCCCCGCGGGGCCGAGCCCGGCTCCGGAGCCAGCTGCGCCCCCAGCGGACTCGAGCGACGGGGTCGGGCGCCCCCTGCCGCCCCGCCGCGGGCGGGAGGAGCGCAGAGCCCTCGGACTCAGGGCCGGACGGGGCCTCTCCCGGACTTGGACCGCGGCCCACGGGAGGACCCCGGCCCGGGCCGCCGGACACCCAGGCGTGACGCGGCTGCACACTGCAGGAGGCGGGGAGGGCTCTGCACGTGCGGCGGCCCTGGTGCCCCTCCTCTCTTCTCTTTCTCTCTTTTTTGGGGGGAGAAACCTCAGAATTTCTATGAGACGCCCCCAGGGAGAGCGTCTGCCGGGGCCCCCACACCCCTGTCACATCTCAGCCCCTGTTGGAATAAAAAAAGAACAAAACCCCAAAACTGGGAACGCCTGGCTTCATTTCTGGGGGTGGGCGTCAGCGGCCGTGTGTCAGACCCCGGAGCCTGCCGAGGAAACGCAGAGATTGGCACACGCGCACCCGGGCGATGCCCGCAGCACGCGGGGCAGCCCAGGTCCCAGCCGCCGCCCCTGCCCACCGACCTTCCGTCAGGACCCCGGACAGATGCAGAGGGCGGGAGGGGCGGGGTGGGCGGGCGCCCACAGACACTGACCCCCGCGTGGTGTCCCTCCCGGGGGCAGGGGCGGAGGGCCGGGTGGGCAGGGAGAAGGGTGGGTGCCCCGTGTCCGCCTCCTCCGCGCTCCGAAGGTTTCTGTGCAGCAAGGACGAGTGGAGGTCACGCAGCCGGAGCCAGAACGAGGCCGAGCAGAGAAGCCAGGGCGGCAGCGGGGGTGGGGGAGAGAAGGAGAGCTCGGTGCGGGTGGGGTGGGGGAGGGCTGGGAGGAGGCACAGGCCCGGGGCGCGGCTGCAGTGAGGCAGGGAAGGGAAAGGGCACCGGACCCGGGTGACACACGGGACGTCACGGAAAGCTCGAGGAGGACCCGGGGACCCCCGAAGGGTGGCGAGGACCCGACTCGGAGCCGGGAGCTGGCGCGGGCCGCGCTGGGCGCCGCAGCCTCCCCGGGACTCGGGAGCTGTCCGTTCAGCACCTGCCGCGCCTGCGGCTCGGAGGGCCAGGCCTGGCCGGCCTCTGTGTCCCCCACAGAGGGACACGCCCCACCCCAGAGCCCCTCCCCGCCCGGCCAGGCTGCGTCCTCAGTTTCCACTCCTCCACGCACCCCGGGGCAGGCCAGCGCCTCGGAGCCCGACCAGCCGCCCCGCCCGGGACTGTGAGGCGGCCTTGGCTCGCTCTCCCCTCGCTGGCTGCTCTTCCTGACAGTCTGTTCCTGAGCCCACCCACCCGGCTTTATCCTCTCTACCCCTGGCACAGCGCCCGCCCAGCGCCCCGAGGCGCCCCGAGCTTGTCACCCTCTCTGATCATGTCTGCTACAGCCTCCCTGGTTCTGTTTGCTCTTTCATCTCTGCGTCCGAGACTCTGGCCCGGGGTGGCTCCCGTGTGTGTCTTCTTACTCCTGGCCGAGCTCTTCTGTCCTCCCCGTCCCTGTGACCTTCCGACTCTCCCCTCCCCCTGCTTCTGCAGGGCCTCGCGCTGTGAGCCCCGTGCCCCTGTCAGCAATCCGGCCAGGCCGCCGTCTAAGGAAGAAGTCCGTGCGGGACGGTGACCGTGTCCGGGCTGGACCTCCAGCCTGGCCAGAAGGGAGGAGGGCGTGTGTCCTGAGGCCCGGGCCCCCGCCCAGCATTCCCCGCCCCTGTGTCCCCGTCCTCTGCACCAGCACAGAGCTGCAGGCCCAGTCCAGACAAGGGAGGACAAACGAATACATGCTGGGACTAATCCCTCCGTCCCAGGAGCGAGGGGCAGGCTTGAGGAAGGGGTGTCTGAGAGCGGGGCACCTGAGCGGAAAGGTGGGGCTCCTCCTCCTTTCCTCATCTCCATGGCGACAAGCCTGATCTGCAGGCCCAACCTCCTCTGCTGCAGAGTCGGCCTCCCCGTCACCATGGCAACAAGGGACGGCAGGAGGGATGGGAACAGGCCTGAGAACGGAATTGTGATGGAGCTCTGGGTCCTGGGGAAGCCCCCTTCCTCTTCCTACTGTGGCCCTGTCCCTGCCCAAGGCCATCGTTCTGTGTCCCTGTGTCCCTGCGTCCCTCGCTCCGGATTTGCAGCCTTTCCCGTGTTCCCCGGAGGCCAGGCTCGTGTCAATCCCCACGCACCGTTTTGAACACGGTCTCACTGTGTATCCCTGGCTGCCCTGGCGCTTGCTGTGTGGACCTGGCTGTCCTTGAACTTAGAAAGCTCTGCCAGCCCGCACTCCCTGAGCGCTGGGATTAAAGGCGTGTGCCACCGTGCCCAGCAGATGCTTAATCTTGACGCGCACCAACCTCTAACCCCACATGCCAAGCTCCCTCCTGGCCAGAGTTCTCTCTCCCTCTCTCCCTGCCAGCGCAGGGATCATCTGGAACGTTCCTCAAGAGCAAAGCGGTGTCAGGCCGGGGACAGGAGGCTCTGACTGCTCAGGCTCCGACATGGAGGCCGATGGGTGCTGTGTGTGCGAGCGTGTAAACGCAAGGCGCGGGTGCACTCGCTGCGATGTGGGTGTGGTGTGTGGGTAGGGACCTGTCTGGAGGCGCGACGGACTCACAGTTGACAGTGCAGTGCGAGAGGCGTGAGAGGCGTGGGCCGCTGTCCCTGGCCTGGTTCTGAAGGCCGCGCCTCGTGCAGCCTGTGCCCAGGCTGCCTGTCAGCACAGCAGTTCTGTGGCCTTTCTTAGGACGCCGCGTGTGCAGCCGTGTCTGCCGGCCCGTGTGCGTGCGTCCCAGGGCCGCAGAGGCTCGCGTGGGGCGTGGGAGCGTGGGTCCCCCGAGTGTGCCACGGTGCCCGCGTGAGCTCTGTGAGCTGGCGCAAGGTCAGCTGTGGCGCAGTGTGCGCTGGGAGTCTGTGCGCCCAGGGCGTGGGCTGCCGCGGCTCCTGCGCATCGTGAGCGTGGTTCTGCGGCGCTGTGAGGGCTGTGAGGGGTGTGCTCCCCTGGACCCCCTCCTGCCCGTGCCGAGCCTCGCTGTTTCGCGGGGTGTCACTGGGATGCGGTTGTGAGCCCGCGCAGGGACAGTGGGGCCCACGGCGGTGCGGGGCATCCCCGGGCTCCTGGTGCGTCTCCGTGTGCCGGGTCATGGGGAACACAGCGGGGGCCTTAGGAGCCCCCAGGCCCTCAGCACCCCTCTCGGTGCGGGAGCCCCACAGGCCCCCTTTGCGCTGTCTGCGTCCCCTCAGTGTCAAGCACAGACCCGCGAGCCCCCACGCCGCAGGAGGGTGCGGGGGCCGAGGCTTCCTGCCTCCCCGGAGGGCGCAGATTCGGGGTGCCGCCGACCCCAGCCTCCCAGTCCCTCCGGGCACGGGGGGGTCCTCAGGCCCCTGCGGGGCGTCCGGGATCCCCGCCCCCCACCGCGCGGGCCGGCGGCGCCGCAGGAGCGGCGGGGGCGCAGCCGCAGAGCCGGGGGCGGGGC